CGTATGACATTTTCTTAATAGCCACAATAGCGCTGCAGCTGTAGCCTTATATAGCATAAATTGCTCTTTTGAAATACCCTTTTTAGATTATGGACAGGCAGCCATATGCCTAACTAACATTTGAGTAACTAACAAATATAAAATTCCATTAGAACAAATGAATATAATTCCAGTTTATATGATTTGCTTACACAATACAATTTTAATTGCATATACAATGCATAGCTTACTCGGCCTGCTTTCTATATACGATACGATTCATACACATGAAAATCAACAATCATTTGGAATGTAAATGTATGCAAAATGTTTTATTTTCTAACACCATCCACGGACGTTACCAGCAGCCATTGTCGAGAGTCCGTACTCCGGCACAAACAAATTCACTATTATTCCTAACAGTATTTTTGAAATGAATACAAAACGATACAATATAGTTTTATTTGTGTATATGTTTATATATGTACACATACACACACACACACACATACACACACACACTTTGGCTTTTTTTGGGTTTTTGAATATGTGGTTGCTCGTAGCTTCGTATGAGTTTCGATCGGAATTTCTATATTTGATATCATTTTTAAGTTTTCTAAAATGTTTACATAGTTGGTGTGAATTTTCTTTTTTGGAAAATTTTTACTGTTGTTGTACTCCGCTATAGCTCGGTAAGAGATTTCAAACGAATGCGGTTTATTTTTTTATGAATGTATTGTAAATAAATATGCACTGTATATTTTGCTCCTGTTTTTTCTTTTTTTTACGATTTTTGAATGCAAAAATGTACGCTCACCACAGTACACTCTCTGATTCAAAATAGCGTAGAATATTAGTAACCAACATACGGTATTGCCATGTATACTGCAATACATATTTATAGCATGCATTGTTAATAAATTAAATGTCTTTTTAAGTTAACCCCACATGATGCTACTCGTAGCTTCTTTGGCTTTATTCGAAATAAACGCCTAATGCCTTGTTAAGCGTTGTAAAATGTTTTGCTTTTACCTTTTATAAGAAAATCTTTCTTCTATACAGACTTTCAATTTCTCTTTATCGAAAATTTATATGTTAAGCAATTTCTACTTTTAGAAACACAAATCTATTATGCTCTATAAAGGAGAAGAATAACAAACAAAATGCCTTTATTCTAGCTCGAAGCGGTTAGAGAGTTTTAATAATCGAGCCTTTGTTACGAAACCCTCTTGACGCAACCACTTACTTGTGACACAAAAACCTTAAAACTCTGGATAAATTGCAAAGTTAGCCTTTGTTGAATTTCTCGTTGTAAAAGATATTTCCCACTCTGCGAGAGATTACATGTATATACAACCTTTTTCAAAAATAAAATTTTACAAATAAACAAGCAAAACAACTTTACTAGGCCATGGCCAACCATTAAATACCCTACTCATAAAACCGGGTTTCAAAATAAGTTCGTTATATGGGAGGCGATCGAATAAGTGGCTCAATCCAGATCATTTCCAACAGTCTTTGTCCTTGAACCAAAACATCTCGGTGTACCAAATTTCATCAAAATGTTTCGAAAATTGCGACCTCTAGAACGAATACAAGAAAACATGATGGGCGGACGGACAGACAAGCTTGGATCGATTCAGAAAATGACTCTAAATCGGCATAACCAAACCTGAATGTGTCCATTTCAAGGAATTCTGGGAGCTGTTAAACATCTGCACTACGAGTGGGATGTGGGGTATAAATAGTATCCAATAAAGGTGGGCGAGAAGATATGTTATTTTTCTTGTTATATTACATACTGAGGAAAATTGCAGTAATTTGGACGAGCCGGATAGTGTAAAATTGCTGGCACAACCATTAGCTCTCCAAATAAAAGAAAATTTGAATAAATCTCTCTCACTGTAAAAACTTAGCGGCTTCGAAGAGAAGTAGTTGTTGAGCCATTTGCGTACATCTTCGTCTTTTGTGAATCGCCGATCTGCAAAGTCGGCTAAATTTTATCTGAATAAAGGATAATCAAAAGGACTCAGGTCTGAAGAATAATCCGCAATGGGCCGAAGTTTCTACCCCTAGTTGAAGATCACTTCCTTGGTTGCTTTTCCTGCAGATCTTAACTCTACAATTTTTGTTTTCTTCGGTTAGGTCACGAGGAATCTATTTCTTGTTTGGTATACGTTATTATGCAACCGATTTCAATGTGGGCAATCGTTTGCATATCTATTGTAGCTTCAAATTATTTAATAAACTGATTGCGGTTCAACCATCTTCCACTTTTTGACCGGGGGATGAGATTTTATTGCGTTCTCATTATTTGACATAGTTATTGGCATTCTTTGCGAATGAAAGTACAGCCTATATTTCAGGAATCAAAGCCGAGTCTTCTGTGTAAATCAGATGGACCCATTGACATCTTTAAGTGATTTATTTCGATCGAGAGATGAAACAAATTTCAAACATTAAAGAAACAAAAAGGTGTTGACCATTTAGCCAATTCTTGTGGCTGACTTTACAATGTAGT